CATATACAAAGAGTTCGCATGCAGTACAAAGCATGCGAAAATAAACCAGATAAAATGGTTCGGAGGGTCAGCTTCATCTGGCACGCTGTTGTCGCATAGAGTTAAATTTTTTAATTGCTATCCCTTTGTTTGGGGCTACAAGATTGGTTAATACATTTCACATTACACTGTTGAAGGTGAAGAGACAAGAAAAAAAGCTCCACCGATGCACCCGAATGTATTCAGAGATGGATTGTTGTGACATCACTTGCCATTTTACGAATAACACATGCAAAATTCATAATGAAGCCAATTTGTGTGTGTACGCGCCTGGTGTGTATACAACAGCTTTTTCGGTTCAAAAGACAATCTGAAAATGAAAATCATGCTGAATGGTAGACAGCATATAAAAGCTGTTATTTGTCCATTGTCGTACATGAGATTAAAAAACGAGAGAGACACAGAAAAGAATCTGCAATTAGCATACAAAAGTGTTAAAAACTAAGAAAAGTCTTTATGCCCGTTCGTCGCATCCCGTTTTACTACCGTATAAAAGAGTGATTACACCCCAGACGAAACCATTTCAGGCGACGAAAGGGATATAAACACATCGGTGCGTAATGCTCGTGGCCGGATTTCTAGCTAGATTTCTCATTAGCTAGAAATATAATTTATTTTTCGGTGGATGGTAAACATGCTCTCTCGCGTTCAAGTATCATCACAATTTAAATATATGTTAAACGGTATAAAACCGCATAGCTGAAAGTGAACGTGTGCTGTTTTGCAAGAGTGCCTCGTTGTTATCGATTGCTGCTGTCGGTTGGCTGGTTGGCTGGGTGAGATCGTTTTCATACTGAAAAAGTGTAATTTCCGTCGTAAATATAGTGGTGATACCAGCGAAATTATTTTGTGAAACTATCTGACGGCGCTTGTCATGCTGAAAAACCGCTTTCAACCAAAATACATTTATAATAAGAGGGATCAGACACACACTCTCTCTCCTCCACGTGGTGCTGGTACACATTAGCTTTACGTGTAATTCTATATGGTTTTGCTGCTGATTTCAAGAGTTTGTCCTACGATATCATCAAATGTGTGCTTGACAGCGGGCTCAAAGCGAAAAATGTTTGTATACTTTTTGAGGACTGCCAAAATTGTGGAAAAGCAGATGACGGAATTCGTTGATGAATAGCACTAAGATGTATCAATTCTAAGCATCAAGTAAAAACCCACCACGTACGCATTGCGTTGACTTTCAAATGTGGTCTTTTTTGACGTGGTTTTTCTTGGTTTTTATATGTATGTATATATGAGCTACGTGCTTGCTAGAATCAACATTGCACATTCTATTTTAATATATCTATCATAATAACATAAATTTATAAATTAAGAAAATAAACTTTGGCTGCATTTTATGTAGTGCAGAGCCAACTGAAATTTATTTCGTTTAAATTTTTACCACTTATTCCCGTGCGGTTTGTGCCATGTGCTTCGAACTTTTGTTCATTAAGGCTGTGAGTGTGCGTCTGTGTGTGCCAAGTGTGTGCATGGATGAATCACAAGAGAGCTTCTCATGGTCGTGATTATACAAAGACATA